TATTTTTTTTTTGCGTCAAACAAATAGTGTTGCGATTTTGTTAATGCGATGAATGATCTAAAATTATCGCAGAATACATTATGTGACTCAACATTCGCAATAAACATATTTCTCGTAAAAACTTTATTGGAATATTCGTTGCGACAAACTGACTTGTCGCCCTTTTAATTTTTCGCGACATATATATATTGCGACGATATTATGGCTAAAAATATTGTGTTGCTATTTTGTATTTTTCGCGTCAAACAAATAGTGTCGTGATTTTGTTAACGCGATAAATGGTCGAAAGTCGTCGCAGAACGCATTCCATGAGTCATATAGCGTGACAATACCTGCAACAAACATATTGTCGTCGCTAAATTACTTTTGCAACAAAATCTCAATTTTTGCGTTGTTGTCGCGAACACAATTTTGTTGTAGTGCTTACATCACAACAATAACAAAACCTCAAAATCAAATTTGATTTCAAAATCAGTTTCGATTTTCAGATATGAAGAAAAGAAATTCGTCGCACTCTCATTCTTCATTTATTGGGTGGCTGTGGCGGTAATGTCCGACGTCCTGGATGGCGGTGGCGATCGAACGACTTTATGGCAAAGGGATTGTATGAGAATGAGGAAGAAAGAACTAGGTTTGGGTGGTGGGTTTTATTTATATATTTATTGTTTAATATATCCTTTATCCCTTTAAAAATTCGTCAACATTTGGTCAGGCCATTAATTAACAGTTAAATTAATGGAAACTATTCATTTGAAGTTTAGCTACGATATTTTAAAAAGTTTTGTACCTTGAGTGGTACAAAAAAAATGTTTGAACAAAACTTGCGTGGGTGCAATTTTCCCTCCTTTAAATTGGTCAACCAGCGATTGATGGGTCAATTGCCCATTTTTCAGTTTTTATACAAAAATCATTTCTGAGATCTAAAAGTGCACATTACCTTAAAGGTTAGAGACTTCGGGTGCAAATATGTAAAGTTTAAAACCTCATAACACTTTCAAAAAATATTTGGGACCCCTAGTGCAATTTATTCTTAAATAAAGTCGTATGAATTAATATTAGTCCTAGTTTGGCACCGTTAAAATAAAATTTATTTTTCTATCTTCTTATTAATTACACATTTTTCAATAAAATAGTACTACACGTAAACTTAAAAACTTTTTTTCTTTTTTAATTACATATTCTTAAAAAAAAAAAAAACTACTCTTTCCATTCCATTTATATATGTTTATTTTGTTTTTTACACTGATTAATTTTTGTCAAAAGTTTTTTTAGTTTCCACTTATATAATTATCAATAACTAATTATTAAATTATTATTGAAAGTAGCAACAAAATAAATGCATATTATTAAATGGAGAAATGAAAATATATTCTTAATAAAAGCTTGTTTGGTAGGGATTTTTGGGGGAAGAATTGATTTTTGAATAGTGATATGATGGGAAATGTGTGGCTGAAAAAAAAGAAAAAATTATTGATGTGATGGAAAATATTATTTTATTGAAGAATGTGTGGTTGAAAA